TATGTCTTGCATTTGGTCCACAAAGCACGAAGACACCCCAAAACAAAGTTCTATAGTTGTGTGGAAGTCCTCAAAAGGAAGGTGCTGAAGCAATGCCCACATCAAAAGCATATGGGTAGTTCCGAATAATTAGGGTCCCATTTTGGTACCCCTGAATATTAGGTGCCGTAATACAATATGGAGCCAAAAAGGGCCCATAATTTTGAGAACAATCCCAGAGGGTCCACATATACAACCACTAGGAAGTTGGGACCCAAAATTCCTTCTATAGTATAGTACTTTGGGGCCTAACTCCCTAATACTTGTATATATGGACCCTCTGGGAATCCATATGTTTCCGCGGCGCTGTAAGGCCAAGACCATCAGCCTCTTCAAGGAGCGGACACGGCTGTCTTGTTCCATTGGGCCCCCCACCCAGAAATCTAGGAAATATAGGGATAATGGAAAAGAAAATGGAAGCTACTGTTTCCGGTTTAGGTGGGTTCTATGGGGATTATAGGGTTTATATGGGGTTCATCAGGGATATATAGCCCCAATAATGGAAAATCTAATGGAAAAGAACATGGGAAATGAAATGGTTTCCCAAAATTAGGGGTACCATTTTCGGGTACTCATAATAAGGACTATAGTATTTGGGGGTCTATATTAGGGTCGCCCTACTTAGGGAAACTACCATGCCTGTGCAGGGAAGACCCATTCTGAGGAATGGCCATGCACAAGCCATTTGAGTAGCGTTTTTTTTGGGTGGTTGAACCTGGTAAGATAATAGTCCTGGTATAAAATACTATACCCCAAAAGGAGGACATAATCTTAGTCTATATTGGGTACTACAGAATCCACAAATAAAATACTACTCATTTGCTTCACCTACGCCTCAATTTAGGTTTCTACTTTGTAACGCATATGAGCTATAGTCTAAACCCCCAAAAGGGGGTTATACAGGGGATTATATAGGGGACTACTATGGGGGTTATTAAGGGGGATACTAGGAGTTTAGACAATGGCTCATATAACAGCACAAACTGAAGCTTCAGCGTTATGTGGCATTTCCCGATGCTAACCTTCCCATGCTAAGCGGGCAACAGATTTGTATCCCAGGTGTGAGTGGGCTTCGTATTCGAGCTCATAGCTTTCAGCTTTGTATTGCAAGCAAAAACTTGGATCACACACAGAAGGACATAATCGAGTGCTTTTAGGCATGTTCAAAGCCCCCGAACACCCTTGCGTTGCAGAATGGCAAGCGAGTGTCGCCACCGCAGCCCATCCCGGACGCTATGAAAGACAAGGCCCAGATTACCCTGAGGGTTCAATTTGGTAAGAGTATTTGTAGTCCAGGTTTTAGGAAAGTACATGAGCTACTGTTAGTATTAGCCTCTTTAAAGGGCCCTGAAGAGTGAACATTGGGGTCCTTTTTTGTAGTTTAGTATAGTACATAATTTAAAAGTCCCCAACAAGGAAGTCATGTCCATCAGTTGTTATATGAGTGAATATTGACTGTAGGCTACATGAATACTACGTAAAAAGACACCTAGGGTGACTCATGCAGACTTAGAAAGGGAGAATGGATCCCGAGAGGCGTCCTCGTGGATTCCTCAGAAAACCCCTCATACTGGGTTGCTGTTAAGGAACTTCATTCAAGTTACCCGAACTTGGATATATAGTAGATATAGGGCTTGGTTATTATAGTAACTTATAATAGTCTAGGTTCCTCAGCAGCAACCCAGTATGATTATAACCCATCGCTCCATCCTCCTTGCGGCTAGCTAAGCATACGTAAGACTAGCAGCCATCAGCAACTTTGTCTGAGTTATGCGAGCTTATTCAATGGCCGTAACCTCTTTTGGAGAAACAGCCCCGAAATGCAATTGTAGTGTCTATAACTCTGTGTGGCTTAAGGGCATCCCTATATTCAGGCATGCCGACTTAGAGTTCAGAGGAGGGTTTGGAAGGGACAGCATTTTCATGAGAATATGTTTGCCTTGCATACCTCAAGCAACCTGTAGTGGGAAAGAATTGGGTCATTCCCAAAATGATCACGCATGACTTGTTGTTTTGTCCATTGCGTCCATATCATGTTCCATATCCTTTTGCAGTTGACTCTCCACGATTCGGGGTAGTACCTTAAACCCTAGATGGAATTGTCCATGTCATTTGCAATTGGAGTTTCCACTTGATTCTCCATTATTGGCGGGTCATAGAACCCTAATGGCCCCACGAGTCGTGGCGCCACGAGGGTCCTGGCCCAGCAAAACTGGCCTGCGTGCGCGCGATACCAGCTATGTTTTCTTGTCCATATTCTTGCCCATTTGACTCGCCATTTGTGGGATGAGATCCCTAAATCCCTCTATAATCCCTATATAATCCTTCTATATCCCTGGATAACCCCTGAACCCTAGTATTGAGAGAGATTTGTTTGCTCCAGGCTTATTTGTTCGTAGGAACAAACGAACGGACTCCTGAGAACCTCTGAGAAGTTTGAGGGCATTTCGTTTCTCGCAGCACCACACATTCCCACATCAAAGCTGTGTTTCAAGACATGCTCTGGCAGGTGCAAGGTTTTTGGCTGGATGATTTAGGTTCATAATAATTACTTGGAGGCATTCTGCACTCCAATGAGTACTGCGCATGAGTCATACTGAAGTATTGGCGTTTATGTTCTTCTCTAGATCATGATAACTTAGGTGCACCCCCCACCCTGTAATAGTGGCTATAAGGGATAATCAGGACTATATACTAGGTCCCTGTTATGTTCCTGCTATACCAATATTACAGGGTGGGGTGGTCCTCCGAAGTTATAATGTAGCCTGGCCAGGTTGGTTCTCAGTCTAGCTCAAAAGCAGACCGTCAAAAACAAGTTGCCTGTCCAAGACACATTGCATATTGCAGCCGCAGGTTTTAGCAGATTTTGCAATAGTGCTGCACACCTGGCAAGGTTCAAGCCTTACATACTTAGGCCGGGGGTAACGTTTTCGGCAACTTTGGATTCAGTTCATTTGAGATACCTCCGTAGCCCGAGGAATTGCAAAACCTCAGGGCCTAGGCGCAGGATAAAGCAGCCCAGTAACCATGGGTGCCCAGGCATTGTATCCGCTCATCACCTTCAAAAATGCGCTGCCCCCGGATCTAGCCCAAAAGGGTCCATGTAGGTATACATGGTACATACTTAGGGCCCAAAGGGGCTCCCATATACCTACTTTAAGGCCCAAGTATACCCCATATAGCTACATGGACCCTTTGGGATGTTCAGGATGTTGAAGCCGTCAAAACGTGAGATGGAAGTGTTGGTTTGAGTTCCCAGTGGATGAACATCCACGTGCTTTAGGGGTGGCCTCCAGGAAGGCCATACCACGATGAGCAGTTCAAGACTATAGCAGCATGCATGTTCCCACCTACATTGTGAGAAATCTCCAGGGCCTGCTTACCACGCTTGGGAGCCACTGCGGAAAAGGCCCACTTAAAGGAACTACAGCCAAAGATAAAACAGACTTTCAATCAAAATAATCGTCTACATTCAAGGCCCTGCGAGCAACCTTAGACTCTCTCTTCAAACAGATGTTTGAATCCAGCCAGCGCCTGAAAGCTGCAAACTTGAATGCTTCGAGACATGTGGGCGATCCATAAATTGGAGGGCCCGACCTTATCGTAGGTGCGCCACAACAAAACCCTTCATTTTTGGAACCCCCAATATGTAATATGACACGCACTGGTATACTGCAACAGTGATATCTGTTGATAATACGCTCAACGGTATAGCACCCACAGAGTACAGGTTGTGCCTCTGGCCCATCAGGTACTTGGCTGTACACATCTGGGTAAGCTTGAACAGGACTCCCTATATGTCACCCGTGGTGTGTCTTAAGCACTGTGAAAAGGGGTGCATGATACCCTCAAAGTGATGTTTACGGGGTCAAACAGTTTATAGGGATCTCGGCTGAAACCTGGACTTTGTGCGTGCATATCAGACGGTGGACGATGGAAATCTTACACCTTACCAGGCCTCAACATACCGTATTTCATTGGGCAGACGGCATATATGGGATGGCGCGAGATTTCCTGCATTTGTAGTAGTGTACCGCGCACACCCGACGTGTCTCGATGATTGCCTGGGTGGTTATCAAAGTCAGGGTTCCTCGCTGGGGCACCGAAAGATTGTATTCATTTCAGGTCTGTTCCTGAACTCCAAAAACCCTTCCATCCCGCAGACCCCACAAGTAGCTTTCCTTGACCTGAACCCACTGCCACCCAGTAGACTGAAGCTGGCGCAAACAAGCCAAGGCCTAAACAGGCAAGCCCGCCAGAACGAGCCCACAGGTCACCCTGAACTACAACTTTGGGCCCAGCGTCATGGTTCCGCTACCGTTCAAATGCCGGACAATCAACGTCTCGGACTTGGCTCGGAGTGGACAAGATCTGCATGTCATGGTTTCCAAAAGTTAGGGGTAACTTTTTGCTGTTTGGGGTCGCTATAATAAGGGCTATAGTATATTTGGTTTTTTTGGGGGTCCCCCCATTAAGGAACCTATCAAATTAGGGTTTAGGATTTGAGGGTTGTAGGCTTTTTTATAGCATTTCTCAAATTCCCGCCCCTAACCTAAGCCGGAGGACCAGAGCTTATAGTGCTATGGGCTATTCCGGGGGATCCAAGTTGATTCTTAAACCCACACATGGAGCCCTAAAGTCTGTAAATGATAAAAAAAATAGTAGGGCCAGTACCTCCGTCATGGTTTTTGGATTTCGAGGCAGAGGGCTTCGAGATCGGGATCAGATGGGCTACTGCTACCCTCCTAGAACTTCGGAGTCAGTATGCTGAAGAAGTCAAGATGACAAGACTTCTGGCCCCACGCCTTGACTTTGGTCCAGGACCTGGCACACAGTGTTCAATTCTTACACTTACACTCTGTTACAGGCCCAAGGGCCCGCCCTATTGCAAAGTTTAATTTAACTGTTTCAGGACACCATATTCACGCCTTATTCATGACCCGATAGACCCTGCACCCCAGGAAGTGCTGGCCGCTGATGTGGCAAAGAAGAAGGAGCACACCGTACCAGCTACGCCCGACGGTCAGTACGAGGCCAGGCCATCAGTGATCCTTAGCAGATTTAGGATTTAGCGTATAGGGGGGGGACGGGGGCGGTGTTCAAACAACTACGGTCCCTCTTGGGGGTCCGATTCGAGGGGCCTGCAAGAAGGAATACGGTATTTCAGGTGTGTTTCAGATTGCTGCCATGTTTGAGAATCCTATATCTCAATTGGTTGTGCACTTTAACAGGATTTCAAGGCCCAGTCTTCACGTTTGAACTAGAAAGCCCGCAGCTGAGGCCCCATTCCCTAGACCTGATAAACCCTGAATCCTACAAACTTCATACCCAAACCTCTGGGAAGCCAAAGCTAAATCAAAAACCCTGTCCGAAGCCTAGAGGGTTTAGGGTCTAGGCCTGGACCCCAAGTGTGACACTCCAAGTCCAAGACATAGCACAGGTACTCTTTCCAGTGGCGCTTCCAGACGAAGGTGGCTTCGATTGGCTGGACCAGCTGCTCGCTTCATAGATGGGGGCGTTGCAGCCTAGGATGCCATGCGGCCTGTATGGATTTAAAAGAGATATGAGTCGGAAGATGCGGATCTGTACAAAAGCTTACCATAAAATACTGTAACATACCGTAATATATTGTAATATACTATATATATATACAATACTATACCCTAATATACTATAATAGACCCTCTGTTTGGGGAACTTGGGATATTGGGCCTAGGGTTGTCTTTTTGATGGGGGCAGGGGCTTAGTTTTTTTTCCTTTGCAGCAAGCAACTCAGCACCTGGCTCCAAATGGATCTAGACAATATGCCAGCGATGTCCAATTTTGCACTTTATGGGAGCATCTGCGGAAATTAGTCCTCCTGGGATGGCCGCAACTGACGGAACATACTGCAATGAAAACGCCATTTACCGCCATGTTTAAAGCTGCTACCCACGGGCCAACGGTCTCACCCCATAGCCACAATTCACGGCAAAAGACTATGGTCTTGAAAAAATATGACCCTAATATGACCCCAATATATCCCCCCCTTCTACTATAACAGTTTCCACATTATTTTCCATTATCCCGATTATCCCTAATAGTACTCTAATATTACCCCAATGATATGATGCCCCGAGGCTGGTAGGACCAGGCAGGCACAAAACATGCCATCCAGCGTGGGTCTAGCAGCTAACAACCTTTGTGGAACCCTTACTGAAAGGCTTTAATGACCTGCATGGGAAATATCCGGGCCATACAGAACCTACACAGGAACCCCTCAAGGTTCTAAGCTGGAGCCTGTGGGTTAGCACTATTTGGCTCTGCCTGTCCCCAGGTTTCTGCAGAAGAACCCCACCTACGTGGAGCTGAGTGACTTGCTATGGAACAGCCATGGCTGTGCCCGACTTTGGGGCAGGGAGTCAGCGACCGCTGAAAGATTTGAGGCATCATCTCAACCCCCCAGATTCCAGCAATCCACCACACCCGGAGTTGGTAGGGGGCATGAACGCTCCGCTCCCGACGTGGCCTTCAAAACCATTGTATACTCTGCTTGGGATACTTAGGAATTAGGCTCCGTTTGCTACCCAGCCGGCACGCACAGGAAGGCCGTTGTTTTGAACATTTGAAGTTCGCATAGAGAGGCCTGAACAATTGAGAACCCCAACTCACCATCGGAATGTTCCAGAGCGAATAGAGTGACGGTGCGCTGGTCTATTGTATCCTAACACAGAGTCAGTGCTTTCTAGCTGCGCTTTGGCGAAGGTTCTCTTTCCCTGTGGCTCCATAATAAGTTTACAACGAATACTGTAATTACTTGTCTCCGGCCCTGAAGTCCATGCACGATACCTACATTGGCCTGTTTGAAGCCCACCGATTCAGCTGCTTTAGGCGCCTGTAATATATACATATACTATAGTATAACATGATGAAATATCATATCATATTATATCATATAATATCTTTCAGTATAGTATAATATGTTAAAATATAAAATAGAAGAGTATAATATAATCGTGATCTCACGGAAAGATTTCCCAGGTGATCGCTCTCTCCTCAGCTGGTGCGAGAAGAGCCCCGGGCTTGGCCTGCCTCCCCCAAAACCAACATGCAAGCCTCTTCATGGGCAGTGTAAGGATTATGTAGGAGGTATATACGAATTTGTTGATGTACAGTGTTTGGAGTACATACCGTCCACCTCAAGGCAACATAGAATAGAACTTCATGTCGGCCCTTTTAACAGCATTGAGGACTTTTGGGGCTTGCTGCCCACCTCAGCAGTTTGCAAATCTTATTCTTACACTTGCCTTGTGAAAGAGAATGATGTACGAAAGATGTCAACAGAAAACTGATTAGGGGGCATGGGCTAAAGGCTCGGGGAAGACCGCATGGCATCTGAAACATGTCGCTTCAAGTTTGAGGGGCATCCCCATGGGCAGAGTGTAGAGGCCCTGAGGCAAGTCATTGATGGGTGGACAGGCGTGAGACTTTACTTCCCAGATGCGCGTGTTGTACGCTTGGTGTTGAAGCCACTTCACTTGGTCAACGCAAGCATAGCAACAGCACCATCTGTGACTGTTTCCCGTAAACCCCTTTTCATGTTGCCCTTGCCAGTAAACCTTTAGGGATACAAAGCCAATCATGCTTTGTGTTTGTGGGTGTGCAGTAAACTGTATTCTAAGGAAGTTTTAGGTAGTTTCCCTCATAGAAGCCCTACTTAGCCCTTATACGGTCCTAGTCCCCATATAAGCCTCACGGAAGGGTACCCACCTGGCAACTACCCACTTGAAAGCTCTAAACCCTAAACCCTGAACCCTAACCCTTAACCACTCAACTCCGACCCTCAGGCGGCTTGACGAGGCCTAAGGGCTATTCGCTCTTCTCTCGAAGCTCGCACGACAAGCCGGACATGGGTGCCATGACTGAAACCCTTAGGGTCCAAGAACCCAGATAATAGGGTTAAGGGCCCAAATACCAGTAATAGTATAGTATTTGGGCCTTAAAACCCTATTATTTGGGTGCTTGAACCCTTAGAAAAAGTTTTCAGGGAAGAAAAGGACTCCAGTTGTAGCCAGTCTATATTCTGTAAGTTTAAGCTACAGACCCTTTGATGTTTTCGTTGCCGTCAATACTTGCCTTGGAATGTTGCGAGGTTTGGAGATTGGCCTGTGGTCTTAGGTTCGTAGTGATCCTGGTGCGGGACCTGGTTTCGTAAATGGGACAAGATAGTCTCTCTTTTCAAGCCCCTAAACCCTGAAACCCTAAATCCTGATTTCTGTTGAAGGTTGCGCACGTGTAACCGATCAGATGTAATGCGTAGTCGCGGAAGCCGTCGCTGATCCGTGATGATGAAGCTGCCATGTTATGAGCTATAATTAGTGAACATTTCTGTAACGGGGTTTAGACAGCTGAATATAGTGGACTACTATAGGGTTCTCAAGGGAGACACTCGGAGTTAAGACTATGGCTCAGATGTTGCTGATGGTAGGGTTTGCAGTTTGGGCCGGTGACGTAGAACTTCTAGAGGCCCCGTTTTAGTAGGTCTGTTCAGGCTGAAAATGAACAAGCTTGAGCTCACTGGGCATGGTAAGGTCTGACGTAGGTAAACGGGTTCGTTAGCTTATTGATGGATGTCTGAGGCTTTTAAAATTCTAAATTCGAAAGAGTCATCAGCTGAACCACTAGATGGAGATACCTTCCAGCCTAATGCATACCCCTAAGCCCTACACCCTAAACCCCAGCCCCTAAACCCTGGAAGGATGAGGAAGCCTCTACAGGGTTTAGGAAATCGCTCAAGGCAAACCTAGTGTCTCGCGCCTAGTCAGGATTTGGAGAATGGGTCCCTCAAGCAGTCATGATAGAATGGCAGAATGGCCGAAAGACCCTCCATGATTGTTCTACAATCCATTCTCTTGTTCTCAACCAAGGCCTAGACCCTAGACCCCAAATGATAAAGTCGTTTCCATGTTCCTTTCCATTTCCAACCGAACATGGGTAAGCCTAAGGCTTTGGCATCCCGCAGCTGGATGACTTGAGCGTGCGGCGGGTGCTGCAAGCCGTGGCCACTATCCAAGCCAGGCCGTTTCGCACTTGAACAGTTATTGTTACTATTAAACAGTATTTTTACCATTACTATCACTATTACCATTCTTACCATTGTTACTATTATGTTACTATTACTACTTTATTTAGCAAGGCTCAGTAAGGGTTCACCATGCTAAGTATGAATCAATCTTATCTGGATTCGGTACGGGGCATTGAACGGATGGTGCAGTTTGTGTTCCAAACAAAGTCCAGGACAACAACACGACAGGTTTAGCAACGAGCCCAGTTAGCATGGCACGCTTGCGGATCTTTCTCAAGGAGGTCAGGTTCAATGCGTGTTTGATTCCGGGTTGGGGGTCCAACAATCCTCCATTCGCCAATCATTCTCCCGCTTGGTAGCTCTGGGTGCATATGAAGAGTCATGGAGGTGATAGTGGCTTCCCCAAACTGATGCACTTGCAGCCTTTGCCGGATTTTGTGTGATCTGTCTCTTGCGACGACGTCCATCGCATGGCAACTGTTCATGGCAAGCCGTGGCAAGACAAATGCTTGATGAAGCTTGCAGGAACTACGTGGTCATGGAGCTTCGTGGCAACCTTATGAAGGAACCGAAGAGTTCAAAGCTCCGAGAGTGCTGCGGAGTTTCATGAGCGTCGTCTACTTGCGCCCATATTGTACTTTCGTTTGTCATTCTGCATGTTGAAGGGCATGCCATGGCAATGCGTCAGAAATTGGAGCATTGTTGTGGAGTCTTTGCATGGAAGCTCCCTTTTTGGGTGGCCTCAGCTTTTGGAATCTTCCTCAGTCAATGGAAGAGGTGCCTGTTTTGAAGGGTTGGGTTTTTGGGCTCTGATTTTGGGGATGCAAGTCTTCAGGTGGATTCCTATGGCGCGTAAGTGTAAGGCTCATTTTGCTGGAGCGCGATGTGGCGCATCAAGGGTTGGTAAGATGTGAGTTGCTTGCACTCCAGAATCCGGGCACGAAGCTGCGCGCAACCACAGCAGCCCAACCACATCGTTCTTTTTGAGCTGTACGTGGCATGCTGCCACCAACGAACATGTCAACACCATTTGGCATAGACCCACAGTAGCGATGCTGTTCAACAGGAGGAGCGGCTTGACATTTTGCCGAAATGGTATGGCTACAAGCGCCACTCGGCTGGGGCAATATCCCAAAACATCGGTTCCGCTGTATGAAAACACCTTCAGTTTGCATAGAGATTCTCATGTACGTGAGTGGTTATCAAGGATTGGGTCGGACAGAAGTTGGGCTTCATAGGGCTTTGGGCTTGGATATTCTAGAGTCTGGAGACAAGTCCTTCGCGGACGGCTGGGACCGTACATTCTACGATTTCCCAGCCCACAAGCCCTGATTTTTGCATTGCAACGGCTGGGTTGCTAGGCTGGGTTGCTAGTAAGGAAGTTCATCGAAGGGAAACCAAATTGTCTACTCAACACCCATATCATGCTACCTGTTAACTTGTTTTCTGCTCTGCAGCAACCACGCCGAACATTCCCAGGCGTCGCCTGCGTGCTTGTGGGGGAGCCACCAGCCGTCTTCAAGAAGTATAGTCAGGCAACTGCGAGCATTCCTTGAGCCCAACTCAGTCTTGGATTCAGGGTATGCCCTGACTTCCCACATGCTTAGACTAGTTGCCTTTCGCTCGAAGCATGAGCTTCTGAAACATTATTGTAGGTATGTGGGAGGTGTAGGGAGGATGTGGGGATGGCTTGGTGCAGGATCCCCAGACCATTCGCGTGAGGGCTCCTTGCGTTCTTTCACCTTATTCACCTTGGAGAAGCTCCCAACAAACCGGGGGTACATTTTCCAGGATTCCATGCGTCAGATGAGGCCAGATATGTTTGCAGTTCCCTCTCCGCACCTGGTTCACGGATGAGACCCTGGAATAAGAAACAAAGAGGAAGGCAGCGAAACAGAGGCTGAAGCAAGATCTTTGTGGCAAGGGTTCGGGTAGGCTTAAGGTCCTGCAAGGGAGTTGGGGCTATGTTTGGACGTCGGATACAGTTCTTGCTATTGTGCAGCTGAAAGATTTACTGAGTGTGCTATCATGCCAACCACTTGTAGGGTTCCTGATATGCCAGGCCGCAAATCAGCCTTGGCTTTGAAGTCATAAGCGCGGAGGAAGTTCAATAATCTATGACTCAAAGTATGGGCCCCTAATCTTGTCCCCTGAGGCCTTTTAGGGGCATTCCAGGGACCCGTATAACAGTACAGAGTATATAGTAGGTATAAAAGGTTCCAGGGTTAAGGGCCAATAGTAGGGGGCCATGGTTGCAACCTTTTAGACAAATTCTGCGTGCAGATGG